AAGTCTCGAACTGTACAGTTAACCTTGTACAGCTCGAGGACCCTCTTAAGCCATGTATGAGGCACCGAGTCGAATGCCTATTTGTAGTCAATCCAGGCGGCGGAGAGGTTCCGACGGTTGCGTTAAACCACCTTGCCAATGACCGCGTCAATGAGGAGTGGTTCCTTGGTTCCACGACCACCGCCCCTACGTCCATTCTGAGCGCGCGACATCACCTGATTTGAGTTCAGGTGACGAGTGGTTCTCGCGCTCAAAATTCCACGTAACGGCACCAATTATAATATGCTGAGACGAAGTATTGCAGACACTGGCCATGGCAACGCACTAACAGATCTTCGTACAGCACGTGTAGATAGTGATGCATGGACAACAGGGTCCGCTGCTGCACCCACCACTGCATCCACCACAACAGCCACCACAGCAAGGTCTGCAAGACATTTCTGGATGAGTACAAAGCCCTAATTGAACAGAAAACCTGAAAGGATATAAAAGAGGTTAAGTTTTATTACAGATAGTTTTTTTTGTCTTTTTATGTATGTACGTATTCCGCAAGAGATTTAGTTGTATTTTGTTGTTTAACATGGATGTTAGTGTCTTGTATATCGTGGGTAGACATGTGATGGGGCGGTATTTGCTCGGGTCTGTGGTATCCTGATCTTTAGGAACCAAATGAGTGATCCCAGTAGTGAAGAGGCTCGGGAGCGACTTCTGGTTGAGAGCCTCTTGAAACTGTCGGGCGAGCACAGCGTAACACACCACGAACCCCTTCAGCCAGTAGTGATGCAGCCCGTCGAGCCCCGGACTTTTCCAGTTCGGGACCCTATGGACCGCCTCAGCTACGTCATCCGGCGTTATGATGAAGGGGTCCATGGGCGTAACATTCGCACACTGACTCACCACAACTTCCGTCCAAGGGCCCTCGGTTTACGGGCTCTGACCGCAGGCCGCGCCAGAATGCGATAGTGTCGGCATGATTCGATGCTGGGCCCGTCCCACGTACCATTGGTCGTTCCAATGATTCATAGAGCCTCTTCTGATCACTCTGGAAGAAACGATTCTGGTTGAAACGTGTCGACCTCTCGGTATATCGCCGAATCCGCTTCCCCCAAGCAGCGATTCTCTGCTTCAGGTCGTCTATGCGCTCCGTCAGTTTTTGCATTATATCCGGCTGGGACAAACTGATATTTGTCCCAGCAAACGCTATCCTGAGTGTGACCTGAAGCTTATCAGCCTGCCGATGAGGGCCCTTGCCTTTGCGATACGGTCCTCAATCCTTCTTCTCCAGGCTGGAATGGCGCTACTTTGTCTAGTAGCGCGTCTAGCCTTGGGAAGTTTGGCGCCAATAATACGGCAAAATGACAATGCGGCGCCCAAAAAAAAATTGAGTCCGTCTCGCAAAGGTCCCGGCTGGCTTCCAAATAGGTCACCAGCATTGGGTTGAGAGCCCTCACGACAGCCCGATTCCGCTTGCGTAGGGGTATGCAGGGAAGTCGCGGTCGATTTTCGAGAGGCATACTGCGCGTTTCCACAATCGCCCCCTCCAATTTACTCCTCATCTGCTCTAGTTCTTGGGTGACCATTCCATCATCGCCTGAATCAACCAAAGCGGGAAGATCCATGGCGGCTTCCACATATGGCTGCTGGTCTATGACCTTAGGAGCCGCATCCCCAGCTATAGCTGGTTCATTCGATGAGGGAATAGCCTCACGCCGTAGTCGTTCGAGTTCGGCATCATCAAATATTTTCGAGCGTATGATGTACCGAACTTGGTCTGCCAGGTTTTGCTCTGTGATGGGAACAGACGGCTCCAGCTCAGCAAAAAAGCGATGCATCCGAGCCCGATACGCTATCCCTCCAGTTTCTTCCCCTTTCGCCCTATAGTACGCCCGCAATGCGTATACGTTTATATATTTTGTCCAACGCGGCGGCGTACTCCACCAGCGGCCGGTGCCTCTTGCCGAGTCCGAGACGACCCTGCCGACACAAAGCCGTCTGGCGGGGATGATGGATGCGAGGTGCTGCTAGGTGGTCGTGCAGCACCTCGCGCTCGGCTGGCGGCCCGCATGCTGTCGCGTCCAGCGCCAGCTCCAAAAGCGCCCCCGGCGACCCCCAGGCAGCGGCCCTATGCGCGTTCTATTTTTATCCATATCATTATTATTCTATTATTATTATTATCTCGAAATCAGATATATTTGTTCATTTCCTATGAGCCTAGGTTTCTATTTACGACGATGATTATGAAAATTAGACGTGTAGAATGAGGGACCAGTTTTAACAGTAGCTATCTTAAAATTGCGCCAATAATCCCTATTTCTATTTTTCAACCGACTTCAAAAAGGAGGCGATACTCAATTAAACTGTATGTTTTATGTGTGTTACCTGGTGTTACCTCATAACTTTTTTCTTGGTAAACCGATTTCGGTATTTCTCTCTTTTATTTGAAAGCTTGTGCTTTGCTTCGTCCTATATAAATTTGATCAAGGTCTGACCAGTAGTTTATGAGTTATTTTTAATAATTTATATGGAAGTTAATTCTACAATTTTTTTTTATTTTAACACTTGTTACAATTTTTTACGACCTAAAACTTCTGCTGGAAAAAAGTAAAAGTAATGTTGGCAACTTTATTACTGGCAACATCGTCCGCCCCTCTTCGTGCACAACGGATGGGAAGTGGAAAGGGAAATGTTATAAAATAGGGTGCATCTTAGGTATTCTATTTTGAGAATACGCGTCGAATTAGTCAAAGTGTAGTTAAGTGTTGTGATTACATAAATTGTAATATTGAGTGCTCTGTACAAATATTAATTGAATACATATATTGTGTCATAAGTGCATATTTATTTATAATAAATTATTTTATATTTCATTGCGTTAACAGTAATTTGACTAAGATATTTTTACTAATGTATGAAACAAATGTTTGGTTCGAGGGACCACTGTTTACGCGTAAATCATCATCATCATTACAGCCCTTCGCGTAAATATTTGTTTCTTATAGCTGTAACACTTTATCTCTTGTTACTTATTAAAATAAGTTTTACAAATTTCTTACTAAATATCTGTCACCACATTAACTTCATTTTTAAATTACTTTCCGAGTTCTGACTGGTATACTGTGTGAACTGAGGGATCACACTTTAAGAGTTGTAACTTTATATATATTTTTTTACAAATTCCAGGATCCGTTTTACAATTGCTTTAGGCTTACTATTAAATCCTAAGCAATTCATTTTGCATATTCCCGGCATTGTCTTTCAGTGCTCACATACAGGAATTATGAATTTGTTAACAAAATACAAATCAGAATAGGCTGCATGATCTAAGGCTTTTGTCTACCATAATCGTTGAATCGTGACAACAACAACAACAACAATTTAGTGTCAAACTCAAAAATAATATGACGCTTTGATTTCAATTCAATTTGTTTTGTATTGTTACCTTGTTGTTTACTTGTATTGTGTTGTATTGAAAACAAGCAGTGAAATAAAGTCTGTATTTTTTATTTCGTTTAATCAATTAAGTTCTACTATCTACTTAAAGTTATGTGGATATACTTATGCTTTAAGAATGTATGAGGTGTTTTTTGAAAAATACATCGGAAATATTGGTTCAGAATATACTTTTAAGTTTTATAATAATCAATACTATTTTTAATAAATTCAGAATAGCTTATAAGAAATTATATTCATTTTTATGAATATTTAACAATCTGACAAATAAATAAGAACAAGTATTATTTCCTTGTGCTTTTAACACAATTTATTTATTTTTTCAACCGCATTTTTTTTATTTAAACATAGAATCTAATCCAATATATATATATAGAAATCTGGGCACAAACAATTATGGCATCTACTCTTTTCCAAGTGCTGGTCTACCTCCGCACAGACCGAACCTGTTGAAACTGTTTAGACAACATCAAATTTTGAGTAGGATGGAGAGGGGAGTATCCTCCAAGTCTATACTATATAAACTAAAAAAATGCACTTTATAAATTTCCTATCTTAGATCTATTTATGATATTCTAGGAGTAATAGTGTTCTGATTATGATCTTAGGATAAGAGGATGATAAACTATTAAATCATTATTATATTAATATTTGACAATTAAGAATTATATTCTATATCTATACATCTAAATAAAATATAAATAAAACTGATGTGTCTGTCTGTAATGTACAAAAGCTCAAGGGGTTCTTTGAATGCTATTAAAACATAAATAATCATTTTTTAAATTACTGTATGTCTGTCTGTCTGCCAGTCTGAGTTAATCTTTGGAATAGCCGAACCAATTGTGATGAAACTTTACAAACAGATATAAAGCAATACTAGTAGGGATCTAGACTATATTTTATATGAAAAACTTTTTTTTTGAGATAAAACGAAAATTTGCTACAATAAAATGGTCTATAATTATCTTAAATCTATATAACACCGCATTAATATATCTCAACCTGGTGAAGGTGGATTATTTCTCAGACATGCAGGTTTTGTTTTAAATCATCACTTAAAATTGCAATTAACATTTTCATTGGTGCCGGCCGAGATCGAACCCGGGTTGCTTGCATACTTTGTAATTTACAGCGACCGCTAAGCCCCTATGCTACTATGGCCCCTCTTCTCTTCTCCTATTCGAGTCATAATTATGCAAATGGCATATCCACACAATTTTGACATTATTAAGGAATAGTAGAAACTAGTATTTGGTTAATAAGTAAAGGTGTTCATTAAGAATTTTCTTTTCTTTATTCACATTCAAATTAGAATAAAATATTACTAAATATGTCTCACATGCCACTTCTTGTAACTTGGTGAGTGTAGTTCAACTTCATATCTGTGATTGTGTCTCTCTCTCTGTGACCGTTTTAACTGTGTTTGTAATGTACCCCCAACTTCTGTCTTTCCCTAGATACAGTTATAACTTGTAAAATTTTTATGTTTTCAGGATGATGTGTTTTTTTTAAATGAGAATAAAGTTCATAAACGTTAAAAAATCAACATGGAGGATCTCTGTACAACATGCTTGTGCGTTGGAAGGAATTTAGTTTTCATTGGAGAGACTGGATATTACAATCTGTACTGTCAAATTTTAAGTGAAATTGAGGTGAGATATTTATCTATAATATAAAAATGAATCGCTGAATGTGTTGCTAAGCACAAATCTCGAGAGCAGCTGAACCGATTTTGCTAATTCTTTTTTTATAATATTCCTTGAAGTACGAAGATGGTTCTTATGGAGAGAAAAAGTCAAAAAATTGCCGGAAAAAGTCTAAAAACAACACTTTTCTATATACCCATACAAAAGATTCGTAATAATACTTAAAAGTCAATTTGAACTTTAATACTATACCTTAAAGTTTAAGTGTTAGTGGAGGGGTTCCAGGAAGGCATAATATTTGAGTGACGTTAGTACCGTATAAACATTAATGTCAATATTTATAAGATGGTAACATTACTCAAAAACAAAATTAGGGATCCGCACAAAAAAATTGATATCCATGAAATCTTAGTAAATTCCAATCGGGCGAAGTCGCGGGGTACAGCTAGTTTTTAATAAAATTAAATTATTAACTAAATCAATAACATAGTTTGATCTTGTAGTGGCGGTGTAAGAATATCCAACACCCCATATCGTCCCGTGGGTGTCCTAAGAGGTGACAGAGTGAAATAAATCAAGAGATCAGCAGCAGTGCCTTCCTAATAACAATAAGAAATAAAAAGCAGTTGCCAACCTGCTTACCAAGCGTGTTAACTATGACAAATATCCTCCTATGAGGCAATCTATGGGGGAGTCCTATGTTCAGCAGTGAACTTTTATAAGCTGTAATGGATGGATGTATAGAAGATAATCTACCAGGAGCACATGACCCACTGAGAGGTGAAATTATTAAATCAACAGTAACATTACAACTATGGCAAATATGAGGCAATCTATAGAGGGCCTATGTTCAGCAGTGGACTTTTATAGGTTGTAATGGAAACAGAAACAGAAACAGAAACTTTTTTATTCAATATAGATTATAAATAATACTTATTGAAAGTTACTCTTTTGTATGATTACCACTGGTTCGAAAAAAAAAACCTCTGTCCTGGGAAGAACCAGCAAGAAACCCAGTGGGACTTTTTTTTTAAATAACAGCTTACAATCATGTATGTTACTCAAATTAACAACACAACAAATTAGAAATAGCTTGGTAGCGATCACCTCACTTCCAGGGGTTATTATCATCTATAAATTCCTTAATATTATAATAACCCTTTTTATACAAACTTAGTTTAATAAAGTTTTTGAACTTTGAGCAGGTCAAATTTTGTATATTTTCTGGAATTTTGTTGTAAAAGTGTATACATCGCCCCAAGAATGAATTACTGACTCGATGGAGTCAAGTAACTGGTACTACTAGCTTGTGTCTGTTCCTAGTATTTACAGAATGAATATCACTTATTTTTGTAAAACTACTTTTATTTTTGTGTATGTACATTACATTTTCATAAATGTATTGAGAGGCCAAAGTTAATATATTAATTTCCTTAAATTTTTGTCGCAGCGACTCTTTAGGCTTTAAATCATAAATTGCTCTTATGGCCCTCTTCTGTAAAACAAATATAATTTCAGTATCAGCTGCGTGTCCCCATAGCAAAATACCATACGACATTATGCTATGGAAATAGCTAAAGTAAACTAGTCTAGCTGTTTCAACACTAGTTAGACTTCTAATCTTTTTTACGGCATATGCTGCAGAACTAAGTCTGCTTGCTAGTTTTGATATATGGGGGCTCCATTGAAGCTTCGCGTCTAGTGTGATTCCAAGAAAAATGGTGGTATCTACAAGACTCAGTTTCTCCCCATTTAAAATTACATTAGTATTTAATTGTTTGACATTTGGAGTCATAAATTTCATACATTTCGTTTTAGTGCCATTTAAATGTAAATTATTAACATTGAACCAATTTACTAATTTAGATATAGCATTATTTACTGCGTCATATTTTAGCAATTGTCGACTTAATTTGAAAGTTAAAGAAGTGTCATTTGCAAATAATACTATATCATGGTTATCTCCTACTATGTAAGGTAAGTCATTAATGTATACAAGAAACAGAAAGGGGCCGAGAATTGAGCCTTGAGGCACGCCCATTTTTACCATCGACCCGGAAGAACTCATACCGTTAATGACAGCTTTTTGCGTTCTCTTACTTAAATATGAAATAATTAATTTAAGTGCATCACTTCTTACACCGTAGTTTTGAAGTTTTCTGATTAATGTTTCATGGTGAACACAATCGAAGGCTTTGGATAGGTCACAAAATATACCCAAAGCATCCTGTGAATTCTCCCATGCATTAAATATATATTTAATCAGATCAACAGCGGCATCAGTTGTCGAGCGACCCCTTGTGAAACCAAATTGATTTTTATGAAGTAAATTATTTATATTAAAGAAATTTAACATTTGATCTAGAATAATTTTTTCAAAAATCTTACTAAGTGTTGGTAGTACAGAAATAGGTCTAAAATTGGCGGGGTCTAATGTACTACCAGATTTAAATAAAGGTATTACTTTACTATGCTTCATTAAATCAGGAAACACACCAGATTCGATACTAGTATTAAAAATAGTAGCTAAATGAGGCGCGATTGTATCTATTATAGACGCAATAACTTTAACGGAAATCCCCCACAGATCCGCAGTTTTCTTAACATCAATAGTTTTAAAATATTTTACAATATCTTTTGATGATACTTTATAAAATGCAAAATTCTTTGTACACGCATTTACATTTTGTTTAAGTAATGATTCGGCGACTGCAGGAGAAGAATTCAGTGACTTAGTGGTTAATATTGGAATATCAGTAAAATATTTCTCGAAAACCATTGCAACGTCTTGATCTGATTCGGTTAATTTGTTACTAACAATGTATGTATGGAAGATAATCTACCAGGAGCACATGACCCACTGAGAGCTGAAATTATTAAGTCAACAGTAACATTACTACTGTTGCAAATATCCCTCTATGAGGCAATCTATGGGGGATCTGTGTTCAGCTGTGAATAATATAGGCTGTAATGGTAAAATTAATTTAAAAAACAAACTTACAGTTCATCATTGTAAGTAGTTACTGTAGCCAACTTCATACAAAGAATGCTTAACAATCTGTAAAGATACTGGCTCTCAACACCCTTAAGACAGGCAGAGTAAGCACTGCTACTTGGTGGCAGAAACAGTGTGATTTACCATCTAGGGCTGCACCACCACTTACCACCAGGTGGGATTGTGGTCAAGCACCAACTTATATTAAGTAAAAATAATAGGTAAGACGGTGGTGGTACTTACATAGATGGACTTTTAGGCAGAAAAGTGTATTACCACCTAGAAATAGTTCTTATCTTAATATACATTCATACGTGGTAGAGCCATGCTGCAGCTATATTAGTAGTATAGTTGTAGCGAATGGGTCGGCTCGACCGGGGAAGGAACACGCTCTCACAGAATATCAGCGTAAAATAGCGTTGTCACCCCTGAAGACTAACATTGAATGCCTCATTTCCAGTAAAAAGGATCTCCAGTTCTCTACACTCACCATATGAAGCATTAAGCTGCTATTTTACGATGGTATTCTGTGAGAGCGTGGCTTACCCCAGTCAAGCCGACCTGTTCGTGCTAGGACCATAACATAGCTGCAGCATGGCTCTAGCGCATTTGAAAACAACACATCTGCATTTTCATTCCTAATCAAGGGTAAATGTAGATGTCTATGCACCACAGCATCTTACCATCAGATGGACTGTGTGCTGGTTTGTCACTCTTATTCTGTTAAGAAAAATGGATATGTATTTGTATAGAACATACAATATAGACTGATCAAACTCCTTTATTTACATTGTGAAAAGCTGTGAGCTCTGTTGCAGCTGAAGCAGTATTTATGTAATTTATTGTAAAACACCTCAATAAAAGGATTACAAAGGTCGGACCTAATGCTTTTCGGTATTCCCTCCCAGTTAACCCAGAACATATAGAAATAATGGGATAGATGCTAAAAGTAGCACCTGTACCCCGTACCAAGGTAGACCTGGCAAACACACTCCCAGTGGAAATGTTTCACTGGAAGTTAACCAATATAAACAGTAGGAAAGATTTATTACATAATTTCCATTGTGACCATGATCACGCCCTCCTTCTAGCTGTTTCGACTAAGGAATCTAGAAGGGAAACCTTATATGTAGCTGTACAAATCCTACTAAGAGTGATCTGTCAACCTCATCAATGCCCTTGTTGTAGCGGCATAAATAAGTTTGGACTCAGCAGTGTCTTCCTTATCACAATTCAAAATAATAACCCAATTCTGTTTTAGAAGGTGTTCACTGTAGGAGCATCAATGACATTTTGTGGTAGCTTATTCCAACTTGTATAACAAAAGTGATATCACAAATTTTAATAAAATTCTTCATGGGATTCTTGGCAACCCTATGGCAGAGAAAGGCAAAATATTTCCTATGTAGCAATCCATGGGGAGGCCTATGTTCAGCAGTGGAAGTTTATAGGCTGTGATGGATGGATGGATGGAAAAAGACTAAGATGAATACCTACGTGTTTGCAGGTGTATGATGCCTCGGTCGTATGTGTACGCGTGTGCTGGGAATGTCGTGTGGCACTCCGTAATTTCCAGCGCTTCAAAGTGCAGGCGCAACGTTGCTACGCTGAGCTTCTGGAGCATATTCAACGGCAGGTAGGTGATGACTTTTTCTTGTATACTCGTTATATGATTAGACTGCTATTTTATTTATAAAATGTGTCACGTTTAGGGAAAGTCTGACAGAATAATTATGTCTTCCAGACTGAATTTCGGTCACGGCAGCCAGTTCCAACGTAGACTAGCCCTCTGTGCGGTACAAAGTTATAGTGCCCCAGTGTATGCGCAAACACGGGTGCACTCTCAATTTCCTCACACAGATTGCAGAGAGATCAGATGCAGGACCACCGGCTTTACGTTTCTTTCCGAGCAAACTAGAAGATGGGTAGCAGTAGCATGGGTCCTAATAATGACTAAAAAATAAAAACTGCTGTGGCCGATCTACTCGCCAAGCGTGGCAACAAAGGTAATCACTATGAGGCAATCTATAGAGGAGGCCTGTACTCAGCAGTGGACTTTGATAGTCTGTAAGAGTTACAATAAAGGTGTGGCGGGTAGAAGGAAAAGGGGAGATCTCCCGCCGGGCAAGGTCCGGGGAGCGGCCAACCGGCCGAACTACAACTCGGAGCTATTTTATATATACTACTTTAACTTCGGAACTTTGTTAGCGTGATTTAGGCATCGATTTGTTTCGCTTGTGGCGCGACTACAGCGCCACAAAGTTATCATTTGACTCATTGTGAATGTTTCACTTTCATACATGATAGAGCCACGCTGCTGATATATAATGGTTGCAACACGAATGGGTAAGGACCACGGTCTCACAGAACACCAGTGTGAAATAGCAACTCAATGCAGCTGTGTTTCGTGTGGTGAGTGTAGAGAATCGGAGACTTTCACTGGAAACGAGGCATTCCATCGTAGTCCTCACGGGTGACAACTGACAACGTATCTGCTTTTTGATTCTTACTCAAGATAAATGTAGATGTTTATGGGCTACAGCATCCATTTACCATCAGAAGGACTGTGTGCTCGTTTGTCACCATAATTCTATAAAAAAAAAACTGAAGGGTGACAATGTTTCATTTTCTATTACAGGATAATTCTCCAAAGTTATCACTCTGCAAGGAGTCTACTTTAAAAATAGAGCATGTTTTGAACGTAAGTTACCCTGAGACTGTAAAGGTGGAAAGTGATCAAGAAAATGTCACTATAGAGAACATCAAGACTGAAAATCTAGAAAGTGATACAGAAACACACTGTGAACCGGAAACCTTTGTGAGGGATCTGAAGCTGGAGAGTCCGAAGGTCAAAAAGAAGGAAAGTATTAAAAAGGTATGGTACATTATCTTTTATCTATACGTGGTATAGCCACACTGCAGCTATTATCTATATTGTGTTTGTAACACAAATGGGTACAATTTCAATTTTCTTTTTTTACTAAATAGGCTTTACCTTCAGGGTGGTTCCATTATTTTGAAGAAATATTCTAGACCTAAGGGTTTAAAATAGGAGAAGAAGACTCATATTGGACTCTTGTTTAAGTAATTTTGGTTTTTACTAACTTCCGGTTAACAAATTTTAATGAAACTTGGCACTTATATGCATACATATGACGACTCCGTGGCGCAGTGGCTTAGCAATGAGTTGCTGCGCTGGGGGCCGCGGGTTCGAATCCCGCACGGAACAAGTATTTGTATGGCCTACAAATAAATGTTCAGCGTCTGGATGTTTGTCCTTGTGTAATTTCTGTTTGTAAACTGCCTCCACGATACATGAGAAAATCCTAGTGTGGGGTAACGTTTATTTAAAAAAAAAAAAACCTTAAACGTAGTTTACATGACTTAACAATATGGTAATGTCAAGCTGATCTAATGGATGCAGTTGGCTCAGGACCGTGCTTTGTGGCTTACCGTGGGGGAGAAATATGTTCAGTAGTGGACTTGTGAAGGGCTGTAATGATGATGATGAATGTATATTTGTGTAAATATATCATTTTTATATAGGGTTATTTTGCAATTATGGGACAAATTTGCAGAGAAGGTTCAGAATAAGTAATATAGGCAAATGGTGACGTAACATTAATTAAAAAAAATCTCAAACGTTATGTCCTTTTTATCTTTTAAATTCAAAATGCATGGTAATGCGTTATTTTAACTGATTTTACTGCACATGCATACATTCGTAAGGGTCGATCGGTAGGCAAAAATGTTGTTGCCCACACTACATTCAATTTGGGATAATTTCAAATAAAAATAGAAGCCTTATTTACTCGTATTTTCAAAATTTTCAGTAACTGTATATCATTATTTATATATTTAAGCTTAGGTTTAAAGGAGATGAACTTGGTTCCGTACAAGCTTGGGCCCGCGTAAACAAAGGTTAAATATATCTTATTTTAAAGATTTAAACATTTGCTACATACGACAAAAAATCATATTTTTGTAAAACCTGTGGTTTTGTTTTTATTTTGGTTTATTATTTTTAGGTTATGTAGTAAAATCACTCGTTCTTTGGATAAGTTGTTTCAATAAATTGAAAAGACACAAAAGGATGCAGATTTTTAGTTATTATTAAATAAAATAAAATACAACTCAAACTTTCTTAATTGTTTAATTATTTTCTGCAATTATTAATAAAATGTCATCTCAAAAAACAGCCTGAGACTGTACATTGTCTGTTCTATTCCTCTCAAAACCTAAGTAACACATATTTGTCATTATGTGGGCGCAACAACCTACTGTCCTGTAAATCACGAGAAAAGCCACGGGTCAAGTTAAATTAAAACACGAAATATATCCACAAATACAACCACAATGCCAAATGCGTATGACAAGCAAAGAGAATATAACCACTACGTTTAAGAGGCGGGATTTCCATAGTAAAAGTAAATGCATGTAAGTACCATGGAGTATAGAGTAGAAGGAGGACCATCTCTGTATATGAAAAGTGTCCCTAAAAACGCGTCCAATAAGGGTGGCGCTGCAGTAGCATAGGATAAATTTAAAAAAAGCGCCAAAAGTAATAAGAATAAGATGGAGAAATAAACAAGGACCGACCAATCCACTTTTTTTTTATAGGATAAGGGTGACAAACGAGCACACAGTCCACCTGATGGTAAGTGGTTGCTGCGGCCCATAGACATCTACATCTATCCTCTGTTACAAATCAAAATGTAGATGCGTTGTCACCCGTGAGGACTAAGATGGAATGCCACATTCCCAGTAAAAAGGGCCTCCGGCCACCTGCACTCACCAAGCGAAACGCAGAGGTAAACCTCTACTTCACGCTGGTTTTCTGTGAGGTCGTGGTACCACCCCGGTTCGAGCCGGCCCATCCGTGCGACAGCAAAAGCTGCCGCGTGGCTCTACCACTGTTAAAAACTTGTTCTTACTTAACTTAAACTACCACTTGGTTTTGGCGCACTTTTCAAACAATATATATGGTCGGAGCAACATATGATATTATGATTTATAATCATATAAAGGGAATATAAATTTAAAATTAAAAAAGCGTCGTTTCATACAATCAAATTAACAAACGTTTAAACTATTTTTTTCAGTCGGAAATTGAAATGCGGAAAATTTGAGGGAATTACAAGTAAAATTTGAAATTATTTTAACTTGTTAAAAATTTATTTGTTGAAAGAAAAATAACAAGTCTTATGGAATAAATAAGGTGTAAATACAAAATAAATCAACAAGAGGGTTATTCAACGATTTATATTATTAAATTATATAAATAAACATCTTTAACAATAGTTATAGTTAAACATTTTTTTTATTAATAACAAGTTGATGTGTAGTTATGACAGTAGTTTGGCATTTTTCCTATTTGCTTTGGTCTTAATTTTGGCAGCTTCATAGCGTTTATTTTCAGATTTAGCCAAAAAATAGGATCTCATCACTACATAAAAATGTATTTTACTAATCCGTCGGGCTATGTCGGTCACTCATATAATACTCAATATAACAATATACAACTTATAAATTTCTACTTTTCTTAGCAACCAAAAATATTATTTTAAACTTTTTGGTAGTGTGCACTCCTGTGGACTCCTCGATTTATTATGACAAATCATTTTCTGTTCTTGGAGTAAGACTCTGGAACTCCATACCCCAGTCAATTAAAAGTGCACCATCCTTAAATGTGTTCCAGAAACAGGTTAAGGAATTCTATTTGTCTCTCTAACCGCTCTCCCTTCCTCCGCTTAATTATGGTCATTGATGAATGTTGCCATTTTAATGCATAAGTTTATATCTTTATTTTTATTTTTATTACATTTTTTAATTTTTATTTTAATGCCATATCCATTGTTCTTTTTCTTTATTTTTATTTATTTATGCTTCTGAGTTGTCTGGAAGAGATTGCTATGTAGCAATAAGACCACCCTTTCTATATCCCTCAATAGTTGTTTATTTTTTCTTTTTAATATTTTTAACCTTTCTTGGTGTGCAATAAAGAGGTATTGTATTGGGCAAAGTTTTGAAGTCGGTTTTTTTTTTTTGGAGAAAATTACTTTATATGGGATTACAATGTTAACTATATTTATTTACAGACAACTAAAAATAGGATAAAAAAGAAGGTAAAGAAGAAAAAGCCACCTAAATCTAACACTCTGACCTACATAAGCGAGTCGGAGCACTGGTCAGACAATAATGAAGATAACGAAACGTCACAGAATGTAGAAGAGAAGGTGTTACAAGAGAAAAAGGAGATTGTGAGTAACCCCTGTGATACGGAAGTAGAAATGGGAGATGGTTTAGAGAATCATCTGAAAGAAAACCATGCATCGGTGAGTTGTGATTTGAAACTTACTTATTTTTAGATACTCTACAATATATATATATATATATATATATATATATATATATATATATATATATATATATATATATATATATATATATATATATATATATTAGAAGAACTATCGGATAGGAGTTAAATAAATGTACGTAAAATTATACACTTGTTCTTATACAACTATATATTTTATGTGGCGTTAGTTTTATATGACATATAATCACTTATCACTCACCGAGACACTTTATTACAATTGCATTGAACAATTCACTATTTTAGTAGCACTTACATTGATTCAACACTACACGTCTAAACGTCACGACTTGCTCTACGAAAGACCGTTTCGTTATCCGATTTACGACTTGTGTAGCCAGAATAAAATAAGGTTTGGATTTTACTTCCGCAAAAGTCAAATCCACAGCAACCGGATTTTATCGAAAAATGTACAAAATGTTAACTTAAGGGACTACTTTCGCAGTAATTGTCAAAGACCTATATATATATATCACTAAACGGGCACTACGGTACTAATACATTGCGCACTAAGTTACGGTCAATTCTCCGTAACTCGTTCATTCGACTGCGAGTGACCGAGATAACAAGTTCTTTATTTTGTAAACCGCGAACGTTGTTTCGACAATCTAACACTGATTTTGTTTAACGTGACTAAGAAAACGTTGTCATTATTTATGTGCCCACTTTGTCAACGTAATTTGAACTTTATTTTATATGTATATATATTTATCCGACAAGTAAATGTGACAGTTGTTACGTCATCCATTAGGGTATATACATGGTGTTTTTTTTCTTTTTATAGAAGAGAGGGCAAACGATCATGCGGCTCACCTAATGGTAAGTGACTACCGCCGTCCATAAACAACCGCAACACGAAGGGAATTCAGATGCGTTGTCGGCCTTTTAGAAAGGTGTAAGCTCTTTTCTTGAAGGTCCCTAAGTCGTATCGGTCCGGAAAAATCGCCGGTGGGTAACAATTCCACAGAGAAGTTGTGCGAGGAAGAAAACTCCTAGTAAAACGTACAGTCGTGGACCGCCAAGCATCCAGATGGTGAGGATGGTATCGTGAATTTTGACGCGATGTGCGTTCGTGAAATTTGGGGACTGGAATTAATCCGAACAATTCCTAAGAGCACTACCTGTGGTAGATTCGATAGAGAATGCAAATGAATGCAACATCCCTACGCAGCGCCAGTGTATCGAGCCGATCGGAAAGGACTCGGTCGTCGACGATTCGAACCGCTCTGCGCTGGATGCGGTCAAGTGGAAGGAGCTGGCACTGGGGTGCCCCGGCCCAGAGATGAGAACAGTATTTCATGTGAGTCCGAACTTTAGCTTTGTAAAGTTGCAAGCGATGTGCCCGCATGAAATACTGTCTCGCTCTGCTGAGAACGCCAGGTTTTTTATAGGCCTGTTTGGCCTACCCTTCCAAGTGACCACGAAATTGCACACTATTCGATATGTCGACGCCAAGGATTCCGATACTAGGTGAGGCAGCAAGGGGAGTGCCGCGTAGATTATTTAAAGCACTGGTCCCAATACAGACCCTTGAGGAATTCCAGCTGTTATTTCCCAAAACTGAAAGGTGGCATTAACTTGTTTTAATTTGGTAAGTCACTATGTCTAAGTAGCTATGGCGTTTATATGTATTTTGTGTTAATTATGTAGAGCAATTCTGTATGGAATACTATGTCAAACGCCTACTGAATGCCTAAAACGCAGATGAGAATGAGAGTAGGTTTTTTTTTCTACAAAGATCTTATTTTTCAACTATAAAATAAATTGAATGAAACTCATTTTACGGATTTTATCGTGTTTACGAGATGAACGCACGTAACTATAAATATGTTCATATATTCAGTTTCTTTTGATAAACATTCGTGTGTCAAGCGGACTCGGCGATAATTTTGGTGTTTCGTTTTGTGACGACGGCATTATTATTAATAATAATAAATAATAATTATTTTTATATAAATTCATCTAAAATTATATGATATGAAATGATGATGACGTTATCTATTTGGGATAGATTCATGGTGTAGTCTGTACAAATCACTGGTCCCAATGCAGAACCTTGAGGAAATCCAACTGTTAGGCTGGATTTTATCGGCTTCCATTTTAACTTTTTGATTACGAGTGTTGCGGTTATAGCACCCATGGTGACGGTGATGGGACCGAGATGTTAGAACCACTGACGTCATAGTTGACCCTTTCAGGTTTTAAATATTAATTGTTTTTCTTCACCGGCGCCAATTAAATTGTTAATTGCAATTTTAAGTGCTGATTTACCACGTGCCGTCAGTAAATTCAAGTACTTCTATGTAATTATGTTTTTATAGAATAAGGGTGACAAACGGGCACACAGTCCACCTAATGGTAAGTGGTTGCTGCGGCCCATAGACATCTACATCTATCCTCGTTTGTGAATGAAAATGCAGATGCGTTATCAGCCGTGAGGACTAAGATGGAATGCCTCGTATCCAGTAAAGAGGGTCTCTGGTTCCTCTACACTCACCATACGAAACAGCAGTGTTTAGCTGCTACTTTACGTTGGTATTCTGTGAGAGCGTGGTCCTTCTCCGGTCGAGCCGACCCATTCGTGCTACAACTATACTACTAATATAGCTGCAGCATGGCTCTACCACGTATAAAAAAGCAACGTCTATCTTCGCTTAAGAATCAAAATGTAGATGTGTTGTCACCGCCGAGGACTATTTGAAATGCCTTGCTTCCATAAAAAGGGTCTCCGGTTCTCATATATGTCACTTTAGATAGAATTTTAAAATATTCCAGCCTCCCCACGTCAATGGCACCACAACACGAGCACCGCGCTCTAGAGAAGTTTTACCGGACAGACCTCAGTGTGTGGAGTGCGGCAAGGTATTCAGCTCAAAGAAGACATATAGGTACCATCTCAAGTGAGTTCCCTTTATTTTGTATTCATACTGAAGCACGCTCGCGGAGCGGGAATTTTTTTATTGCTTTGCATTTTTAAACTTAATTTCCATCATGAAAAGTTTTATTTTTATTGCAACTAAGATAGCTTTAGGACCTTTTGAACAGTGTTTGTGATTCGAAAACCGAATTTATTCTCAAGTGGTTAAAGTTCACATTTGTATGAATTGCAATAATTTGAAATTCTTCCTGCTCCGCGATTACGCCATACGCTGGTACCCGGCGCGTTGCTGCAGCAGAAGAAATAATTGTGAAAATATCGTTTTAAATTTGGTAGAGTTGTTTTGTTTAATTATAAATGATAATACATTCAATGAAATTGAATGACACATTTTGACTTTCAAATAAATATGTCGGTACGACACGCGCGCCGCCTACTGTAAGTTAATTGTACTATGCCAATAAACTTCGCGCAAGTGCAAGCAATAAGTTGACAAAGTTTTAGCGCAATCTTATGAACGGTATGGCAGCGCGTAAAATACGAACAAAGAAACCTTAATTTTAATCATCGATCACTAATAAAAAACCTAGATACACAATCAGTGACAAAAAATGTCTTTACTGAATGAGCTCCCATTCGAACATTTGGGTGCGCTTTTAATTTGCACTTGGCTTTGTGAATACAACTTTAGGCTGTGCATTTAAGGTTGAATTTACATTAATGTATATTTATTTCTTCTAGAATTACGTCGAAACAATTGACGACAGTTTTTAGAAAACTTTTGCATGGGATTATAGATGATTTTAATATATTAGATACTAGGGTTTCAACAGTGGTAGAGCCACGCGGCAGCTTTTGCTGTCGCACGGATGGGCCGGCTCGAACCGGGGTGGTACCACGACCTCACAGAAAACCAGCGTGAAGTAGAGGTTTACCTCTGCATTGCGCTTGGTGAGTGCAGGTGGCCGGAGGCCCTTTTTACTGGAAATGAGGCATTCCATCTTAGTCCTCACTCCTCCTCACTTTGGTTTGTAACAGAGGATAGATGTAGATGTCTATGGGCCGCAGCAACCACTTACCGTCGGGTGGACTGTGTGCTCGTTTGTCACCCTTATTCTATAAAAAAAGGGACTCGCCTAGTGATCGAAATTCGAACGTAGTTCATACATTTTTTTTAAGTTTGTTTGTTAAGCAAACTGTGTTTAACTTTCATCTGTACATTAATATATAAAAGATAACCATATAATATGCAACATTTAAAATAAACGCTTTTCAACAGACTTCAAAAAGGAGGAGGTACTCAATTTGACTGTATTTTTTTATGTGTGTTACCTCAGAAATTTTTTCTGGGTGAACTGATTTCGATGATTATTTTTGAAAGCTGGTAGGGTAAAACCACCAGTAACTGGCCACTTAAGCATTTCCACCAAGTCAGACTTTAATTATGTCAAAATGAGTTATTATATTAGATTTTTTGCAATGCCACACAATAATGTGCACATTATTTTATATAATTCAGGGTTTTAAAAGTAAAAAAAAAACAATATTTGGTATCAAATTTTAATAAAATCAAAAAACTATCATTTTTGGTAGTTACTAGCCACTAATTTTAGAAACTGGCCGTCATCAAACTATTAATTGGCCACATGAAATAGGCCTCAGTCTCATCTATAAAGTAATATAAAAAATAAACTTTAAACAAAACATTCATTATGTTAGACAATAAATCAAAACTTTACCCGTAATATTAATATGAGATCAAAAATAATACGACATAGGAACTTTCTTAATTCACTCGAACAACAAATCAACGAATCTAAGATTAATGTAGTTTAATAGCATAAAGCTTGAACCGAAGCTTTGCTTTCGTGCTTCTTCACAAGCAGAGCCAAAAATGGCATCACAATCACCGTCAGATGAATCAGTATTACTCTTTCGATAGCAAATGTGGCACAAAACCTGATCCTCATCTTCCACAGGTACATGGAGTCTGTGATATGATGGAATACAATTAAAAGGAAACTGTTTTCTACGCTGGTTACATTCAATAACGCTATGTGTAATGAGATTCGAACAAAAATCACAAAAAACTAATTGTTCATTAACTTCATATGTATTTTCAGTCTTGCCTTTACATATATTTTCTTTAATTATCTTTGTTTTGCTTTTTCCGTCACTTTTTCTTGATTTTCTTCTTAGATATAATGTTTTCTTTTTCCTTTTTCTTTTCTTCTCGTAGTCTCTTTCTTTTCTGTTATGCAGCTTCTTCTTCCTTTTTTTAACTGTTTTGCTTTTATTTTTTCCACGTATTGGTCTGAAGTTAAAGCAGATGGCAGTCTTTCTATTTTTTATGGGATAGGGTGACAAACGAGCACACAGTCCACCTGATAGTAAGTGCGTCGATGCGTCGTCACCCGTGAGGACTAAGATGGAATGCCTCTTTTCCAGTAAAATGGGTCTCCAGTTCTCTACACTCACCATATGCTGCTATTTTACGCTGGTATTCTGTGAGAGCGTGGTCGTTGCCCGGTCGAGCCGACCCATTCGTGCTACAACTATACTACTAATATAGCTGCAGCATGGCTGTACCACGCTTTCCTTGGCGTTTAGGTGAAAATTGTAACTTCTCTTTCAAATATTCAGTTAGAGATTATGAACACATTAGAAATTATGGAAACCTTAGAATATGTGATTTGTTTTGACGTGCTAGGCTGCGGAGCGAGACTACGTTCTATTAAATTATTCTGAAGTATCCGGCTTACTATACACTTCCTTCTATTATCTTCTCTTTCTTCGGTTTTATTTATTAGCTCACCTGTAAATTTATCAAGAATCTTCCTAGAGTTTTTCTCATCTTATTCATTCGTCATCTTATTCTTCTGAATCCATTTATTAATGTATATTTCTTACAAAACGAGTCTACAACTATTTTTAACAGTAGAGCAAAGGATTTTCGGTCAGACTCTTCTGGTCATTATTCACAGCGCACCGATCGCGCAGTACCTTCTTCCAAGCAACCTTTATTAGGCGAAAAGATGTGTTTGAAGATGGCGGCATAGTTCTGATACTTCTATAGTTATATGGGATCTGTGTCCGTCGAAAAACAGAATTACAGGAAGTGGGATATTGCCTTCTAAAATTTGTGGTTGTAAACAGAGATATAATCATAAAAAACTGCTGCAGTCATCCAACCTGTGTCGCTTCGCCCTATTCCTCAATCAGATGGCACACTCAGTGAAACTCGGTCAGGTATCCGGATATAAGGATATTATCTATAATCATTGGTCAAAAGACGTGTCCAGCAACAGTAAACGTTAATAAAACAATGTTTTCTAAAAATTCTGAACACATAATTGGATATGCTCTTCCTTTCTTGGGAAGCCACGCTTTGATAGTTGTATGATGAAGTCACAAACTGTATTCTTCAGCTCAGTTAGCACTGGATCTAGTCTAGACTTAAACTTTGTGTCAGGATTTTTAATTTTAAATTGGAGGCTACTTCTGGGCACACCAAACTCTTTTGCCGCCTCTCGAATTGAACCCTCTTTATTCTCAATAAATTTTAGAGCCTTATCTATTGTTTCTTTGCCGTATTGTCGTTTTTAGACATTTTACTAACACTTCAATGAACTGTTAAAAAAATAAGAAAATAGATTAATAACTGGCCACGAACTGGCCACCTATGCCAGTTACTGATCAGAGTCGACTAATTCTGCTGAAAAGAAAATACACAATACTACACCTTATAAACATCATAACAAAGAGTTATTTTTAAAGAAATTTGAATAATAGGTAAAACTTTAGTAACTGGCATAGGTGGCTAATAACTAAAAACATGCAAAAAATACTTCAGAAACTAGCCACCCTTCCAATAACTGCTTATTTAAGATTTTCTTAGAATTAAAATAAAGATTCATATAACTCACCAAGCAAAGATGTAGAAATATGCGATTCTTTCACCACCGCCAAATATTATCACTAATAATTTAAAATTTGTATATACTTAGCCACTAACATTTACGTAGTGAAGTAACTTACATGTCGGGACACGTACACCGACTTTCAGTAAATGGTCGTTTGCTTTGGCGCTAGTATTCTTAGCGAAAAAAGTTGAACTACTATGAAAGGTGAATGACAAGGCATTTGTTTGATACGTTCACGCGCTAATAAAACATTATTCTAATTTTAAATAGATAAAGTACCAAATGGCTAGTTATTGGTAGTGGCCAGTTATACCTTGGTTTACCCTACATCTCATGTGGTGCCATATAAATTTGATCTGACCGGTAGTTTTTGAGTTATCCTTAGTAATGCGTATTTAATTGACTTCGGACTAGATTGATGATGTTCTCATTTTATTTATGTTGAAGTCGGTTGTACAAACATTTTAAATTTCACCACATGTTTGCCTTGAACACTCCACAGACTAATAAAAAGGAACATTTGAAATCACACAAAATTCACAACTCATTCAGTCAATTAGTAATAATTTGTTGGCAACATTGTAACATTCTTTTTGGCATCTCTGTGAGGCAGTTTGACCATAGACTATTATATGTTGGACAATGGGATTTTTTATAGGATAGTGTAACAGTCCACCTAAGGTAAGTGATTGCTGTGGCCCATATAAATCTATATCTATATATATAAGATGGAATGCCTCTTTTCCAGTAAAAAAAAAGGTCTCCAGTTCTCTAAACTCACCATACGAAACACAGCAGTGTTAAACTGCTATTTGACGCTGGTATTCTGTGAGAGCGTGGTCCTTCCCCGGTCGAGCCGACCTATTCGGCCCACTAGAAAATATTAGTATTACTTGTAAAATTGTGATTTAGTAATACAATATCAGTGACTTTGAGACTTTATTTACTGCACCCGATAGGCACCTTCTGTGAGTTATATTGCGATGTTATCAGACATAAGTAACAGATACATAATTAGCCAATAACACGCACATACCACACCCCACATAAAGTACACAATCATTTGTTAATACGGCAATTTTTAAATACGCCTGAAAAG